CTATGGGACTGATAACTGCTAATAACGATCATGCATATTACTAAGAGTATGCTGGCCTGACGCAGTATGCTGAGCTGACAGAACACCGGTTCAGCATCAGAACTGGTAGAATTCTGCTCAGATGGTTCTGTGAAGCCAAACTGATCTGCATGCAGAAGCATCGCCTCAGGCCCTCTGCATGTGTTTGTGTTATTACTACCCAGTCTGGCGGTGCGGTTCAGGTAGGAACTCAGGCTGCGTCCCAGACCACGAGGTTTCCTCATCGGGCCGCCGTACGACTGCAGCAACGAGTGCACTGAGGAAGATGAGGCTCGGACCTTCAGAGCTGCTGAGGAGCGAAGAGACGGCATCTCTGGGAGGATGAAGATGATGAAGAGAGAAAGCAGTCAGACTGACAGTAACTCGTTCATCACCAGAGGAAAATCAAAAGGTCTGGAAACTTAGGTCAGACGTTTTGGACATGAAGAACTTTAAACTGTGAACAGAAACTGGACTATTATAATTCTTTACTGTCAGGAAGTCCATGCTGTGATGTTAAATTTTTTTTTTTTGTTATACTGAAGGAGTTTTCTACACATGGCAGATTAATTGTTAATAGTTTCTATAGGATTCAGTCGTGGACTTTTTTGAGATCTTTTCTGAGGCCGTTTATATCAACCAACATTAAGAAATAAAAAAGTTTTGCTCAGATATAACTGGATTCCTGTTGAAGGAGGAATACGCCATAAAGAGACACAGTCCCACATCTTCAGAAGGTTTCTGTCCTTAAACAGGTTCAAATGAGAGAAGATCTACAAAGCAGCAAAGTGGATGGTGTTTACCATGTAGCACAGACTTAGTCCATTTTATTTTCATTTTGTATACGGCTCTATACGAAATGAAATTTGGTTTTGAACAGCGTTCATGAAATTTCCATTCCTCAAAGTGCAACAGTGATCAGATGTAAACAGTGTGTCAGAAAAAAAAACACGGTGCAAGTGCTAAATGTGAGCAAACCTCCTTTGGTGCATTTGTCTTTAAAGGAGAAGTCCGCTCAGCGAGGAATAATCAATGGATCGTTATTTATCATCCATAGAGGGCTGCTGCAGGGTGGCTAACGTTAGCCCGTCATTAGCAGCCAGGGCTAACGTTAGCCCGCCTGCAGCAGCCCTCTCTCTATATAGCCGTGTGTGAAGGACCGCTGGCTCTGATGGAGGTTTGATTGTTTTATTTGGTAAAATTTTAATTTGTGTTTATCTGACTGTGTTCATTATTATTCCTCCACTAAATGAAAAAAGTCATAATTTATTATTATCTAGAGTCTGTTAATAACAGGAGGTGAAATGCAGCTCCAGACGAGCTTTGAATGTGGTGATGTCATCAGTACGCTGCTGTTCTAATTGATCCAGATTAATTCTGCTCCTGTTCTCCCAGAGTCCAGACCTTCCTGGGTTCTAGTCAAGAACGGACTTGGCGGGAACACGAGTCCGTACTTCTAGTGAATTGAGAAACAACCAAAGTTTTTTTTGGTGCTATGGCAACAGGAGTCATCCTGCTGAAATAACGGTTTTTAAATGGTGCTACTCATGTTTCAAATGCTTGAAGCTGAACTGATGGCGCTACAAGACTCACCTGAATCGCTGTGTGATGTCACTTCCTGAGGACTGGTTTCATTCAGCGCTCTGTCCCCGCCCCCTGCCCCGCCCCTCCTTAAAGTGACAGACAGCTGCCGTTTGAGTTTCCTGATCCTCTCCATTAGGGGGGGTCTGGGCGGCAGGGGGGGGCGTGAAACCAACGGGGGCGGAGCCGTGAGCCTGGAGGCAACACCTGGAAAGGTAAAGACAGCAGCTTGACTTCCAAACCGTCATCATTCAGCCGATTCCCCACAGTTTATGTTCTGTGTCAGATGATGGAGAATTACAACATGAAAAGCTCCTTATTTAATGATTTTAAACTGACACTTGTTTTACATCAATAATTGATCGTATTGTTTGAATTGTGTAAATAAAATGTTGTTAAAACTCAAAAATTTGTGAAAATCTTCCACAATACCTTTAAGGTGCATAACTCCGGTCATGTAATTCAGGTAAGAGACCAGAAATCAGGTTTGAGATCAAAAGAATCTGAATCAGGTCTTAAAATCGACAGGCAGACCAGAGGAACTGGATCTGGACTCCAACAGAGTTCAACTCTTCATGGAAAAACTGTTTCTGGGCAGTCCTCAACAACTTCTGATAATAACATACTATACTTTTATTTGCGTATTCCCGTGCAGAAAAATTGTAGCTGCTGGAAGATGTCTGAATTACCAGTATTTCTTGATAATGTTCTATATACCGTTACGGTAACTTAACTTTTTCAATAAATGAACCAAGTATTTTATAGGTTCAAAGAGACACAAAATCTGGTTTTTATTCATTCCACTGGTCGTCTGTTTCGATCAAATAGAAATAGAGGCCTGCCTCAAATTCTGGCCTCCTTCCAATAATGGCCTGGACCAAGATGCACCTGAGTGAAATAAAGGCCCCGTCCTATATTAGAGGATTTACGGTAAAGCATGTTCTGGTTCTGGTGAGGACTGGGGCGGCCAGGGGAAGTTCTGATCCAACAAACCAAAGATTCGTACACGATTCAGCAGGAAGTGAACTGGAATCACCACCAGAAATAAACTGCTGGATTAGCCCAATTTTTCCCACCATCCCAGTCTGGTATCAGTTTAAACCATCAGTTACCATGGCAACCTGTTCTGTCAGGTTAACCAGGCTGTGAGGCCGGATGTCATCCAATCAGAAGTCTCCCTGATCGGTTTCCATCAGGTTTCTGTTTCACTCTGAAAGCAAGCCGGACGACCTGACCGGTACCGGTACCAATACCGGGGTCCAGAAGGGGGAGGACTGAATATGAATGTGTGGATTTATTTTGGAGAGCAAGACCCTCAATTACAGAAGGGCCCCTGAGAGGGGCCTGTAGGGGAACCCCTGTGAGGGCCCTGAGAGGAACCACTGAGGGCCCCAGGCTGCAACTCTTCGCCTTAAATTCAGAGGATTAATTTCATTGAGAAGAAAATGTTTCAATAACTTAGAAAATTATTATTATTATATGTTCAATTAAGTTATAATTAAGTATTCAATCTGAATGAATTTATTAATCATTATTAACTGATTGGTGTCCCCGCAGGTTAAACGTTGATCCAGAACCGATCAGAACCGAACCCAGCTGCAGCTAGCCTGCTAGCATGGCTCCGTCTACCTCCTGAACACCTGCAGCGGGCTCGGTCTACTTCCTGCGCTCCGACAGAGTTCGGTTCAGTTACCGGGCGGGAGAGTCCCGGAGCCGGTCAGCTGCTTCAACAGTAGCCGGTACCTACGGTCAGAGGCGGGCCCGGTCCGACCCGGGGTCTCCGTGGTTCGGTTCAGTCTGAAGGAGGTTCGGGTCGCTCCGTCTCCCAGTAATCCGCCGCCATGTTGCTACTCCGCTACGTGGTGACGTCACATTACCGCGCCCCCTACGCGTTTGTAAACAAACGGAATTTTTTTTTTATTTATATATATCTTTAAAAATATTAAGTTCCACATAGAAATAATTTTCATTTGGCATAACCAGCAGAAATTTGGCTTTATGGATTTAAAACAAACACAACAACCATTCAGTTATTATATTTTCCTTCATTTTTAAGGTGATATTTTAAGTAAATATGGTAAAAACTTAATGCGATTCCCAAATTAATAATAAAAAAAACATTTGATTTCTAATGTAGCAAATATGAGGAAAAAAATCAACCGAAGGAACAAGAAGGGGAAACATCAGAATAAATCTAACGATAAATTCATAAGAGGGATTAAATCTAATATTTGAATATACATTTCTTTAACTTTATTGGAAACAAAAAAATCTACTAAATTGAATCCAGAAATTTTTATTGAAGGAAGGAGATAAATCTGCAAATCTGGATGAAATAATAGCTGCATGAATCATGACAGCAGACAAGATAGAGGAGAGCAGGAGGCGGGGTTTAAGGCCACCATGAAGGAAGAGATGTGGAGTAGTTTGAGAGATTATGATTCTGAGGTTGAAGTCAGAGTTCTGAATTTTTTCCCATTTTAAACTGAAATCATATCTAAAAATCTGTTAACTTTTTTTCCCCCAGTGGCCCTAATCCTCTTCCATAAGTAAAGACTGTATCTAAATGTTCATCTACAGAGATGTAAATCCTAAATGTAAAAATCAAAAACAGTGATTGAAGGTGAAAAACTGTGAAAACAGCATTTTTCACTGTTTTATTCCAACAAAACTGCCTGGTGTGACTGATTGCTGAAGAGACTCTGTAATCTCTGTCTCTGTGAAGTGACCTGAGATGACGTCTGTTAGTGCTAAATAAATAAACTAAATGACTTCACTTTCTCCTCACCAATAGCACTGGGGATCACTAGATACGAAGACTAAAACATATTCTTCCTGTTTCAGCTGTTGCTATAGAAACCGTCCTTTATGGTTCATTCCTGAGTAGGAGGTTCTGAAGATGTTCATCACAGACACCCTCACCTGGACTGGAAACACCACCTCACTGGTCCAAACGGCCCAGAAGCGCTTGGACTTCCTGCCCCCCCCCATCTCCAGAAGCACCATAGAGAGCGTTCTGAGCAGCTGTCTCACTGTGTGCTGTGGAGGCTGCAGCGCCTCAGACTGGAAGAAAGTGAGAACAGCAGAGAGGATCATGGGGGCTCCTCTTCCCTCCATTAAAGACATTTCATCCCAGCGCTGCGTGTCCCGAGCCCGTGACATCATCAATGACCCCTCACCCCCCCACCATGGACTGTTCTCCCAGCATTCAATGCAGGACCAGCAGGTTCTGCAGCAGCTTCTTCCCCACCGCCATCACACTGATGAACTGTTGGACCTGATCAGTACCAGCATCAGACGGTGCTGCTGTGACTCCGCCCCCTCAGCAGGTCGGTTCAAAGCTCTGTTCCTTCCTTTGAACCGCTCCAGATTTCTGATGACTCCAAGCTTTATCAGACCAATGAGAGATTAAAAAACTTTATTTACATAAAAAAAAAAGTCAAACATGTTCAGGAGTGGGAGGAGACACCCAATGGCCCCGCCCCCTTCTGCTCTGACGCCATGTATGGTCAGGGAGCAGAAAGTGTCACCAAGTCTTCTGTGTTTATTGTTCCCATAGAAACAGCTTTCTGAGCTTCACTTTGATTGGCTGGTGTTAAAAATCTTAGTCAGCAGTGAGACGTTTGATTGGCTCTCCAGCTGATGGAGGTGGGCTTTATTCAGCCGTTTCTGGGTGCTGCCATCTTTCTTCTTCTTCTTCTTCATCTGGATCTCCTCCTCTGTTTGCCGCTGAGTGAAATCCCAGGTCTTATCCTCCACCTGAGGACAACAACAGAAGTTATCCATCTGTCCCCCACGCGTTCTTTAGAGACATCATTAAGACCTGTCTCCCAGACTTGTCTTTAAGACGTATCTCACAGACGCACCCATTAGACCCGTCTTTAAGACGTGTCTCCCAGACGCATCCTTTAGACCAGTCTTTAAGACGTGTCTCCCAGACCAGTCTTTAAGATGTGTCTCCCAGACGCATCCTTTAGAGCCATCTTTAAGACGTGTCTCCCAGACGCATCCTTTAGACCAGTCTTTAAGACGTGTCTCCCAGACGCATCCTTTAGACCAGTCTTTAAGACGTGTCTCCCAGACGCATCCTTTAGACCAGTCTTTAAGACGTGTCTCCCAGACCCGCCTTTAAGACGTGTCTCCCAGACGCATCCTTTAGACCAGTCTTTAAGACGTGTCTCCCAGACCCGCCTTTAAGACGTGTCTCCCAGACGCATCCTTTAGACCAGTCTTTAAGACGTGTCTCCCAGACCCTCCTTTAAGACGTGTCTCCCAGACCCGTCTTTAAGACGTGTCTCCCAGACGTATCCTTTAGACCCGTCTCCCAGACGTATCCTTTAGACCCATCTTTAAGACGTGTCTCCCAGACTCATCCTTTAGACCAGTCTTTAAGACATGTCTCCCAGACTTGTCTTTAAGACGTATCTCACAGACGCACCCATTAGACCCGTCTTTAAGACGTGTCTCCCAGACGCATCCTTTAGACCAGTCTTTAAGACGTGTCTCCCAGACCAGTCTTTAAGATGTGTCTCCCAGACGCATCCTTTAGAGCCATCTTTAAGACGTGTCTCCCAGACGCATCCTTTAGACCAGTCTTTAAGACGTGTCTCCCAGAAGCATCCTTTAGACCAGTCTTTAAGACGTGTCTCCCAGACCCGCCTTTAAGACGTGTCTCCCAGACGCATCCTTTAGACCAGTCTTTAAGACGTGTCTCCCAGACCCTCCTTTAAGACGTGTCTCCCAGACCCGCCTTTAAGACGTGTCTCCCAGACGCATCCTTTAGACCAGTCATTAAGACCTGTCTCCCAGACTCGTCTTTAAGACGTGTCTCCCAGATATTCTTACCTGCTCTCCGACCTTCTGCCTCTTCCTCCTCAGCTTTTCCATGCGGGAGCTCTTCTCCACGTTGTTCAGGTAGAAGTTGGTCTCCTTCTTGGCCTGAGAGACCTCAGTCCGGAGTCTCTGCTTCAGCACCGTCTGTTCATAGGCCAGCCGCTCGCTCAGGTGAGTCCACTGGAACCTGTGCAGGTACTTGGTAGAGACACAGACAGATCAGCTTCAGAAACTGTTTCAGGAAGTAACTAACTGGTAGCTGGTAGTTCTAAGACCACAGCTTCCTGTTTGGATGGATGAACTCTGAGCCTCTGTACCTGAACCCAGTCGGATCTAGTTAACTATAGTTCTACACACAGTGAACTGGTCCTTTAATTGGAGCCGATCGTCTTTCTGCTTATAGGAATCATTTAGTTCATCTCTATCAATACTGAGTTTAATCAGCAGCAGATTCAGTCTGTGTTTAATCTACTGTCAGACTAACAGGAAACGTGTTTCCATCAAACTTCTTTGATGTATTCATTAGAAGAGCGACATCTAGCGTAATACTTCAACATCTCCATCAATTTCTTACATTTGACTAAAAAGGTTTCAAAGTCTCGCGTTTGAGCTGATCTTTAGTAAGGAGGGTTAAAATGGAGCAAAGAGATGGAAAGAAAGATGGATCTGCTGTTTCTGCTGTATGAATGAAAAAAACCTGAATCATGGATACAAGTAATTAATATTTTGCAAATCGATTAATCTGTAGATTATCTTTTTTATTAATTAATAATCGGATAGCGAAAGGTTCCTTGAAGACATTTAGGTAATTAAAGCAGGTGAAACTAAAACGCTGGATAGAACAGATTGATGAAAAAGATTTTTTTATCTTAAATGCCAAATGTTTACATATTTTATTTACAATTTGGACATAATTCCTGCTCTAAGTGCGTCGCTCTGTCAGCTAAAGGCAAATTTTAAAGTCTCTATTCTCCAGTTAACAACTGATGACTAAATTAGCAAAAGATTATTTTAATAATCCAGATTAACTGTTTCAGTAATCTATGAAGGGATGGATCACTGATTGAACTGCAGATTTTCACCAACAGAATGAAGGTTTAACGACGGATTAATTCATGAATTTATTATTTTTCTTTATTAAACTGATACCAAGCTACCAATCAGAGGCCGACTTCGGTCTGGTTAGCTTAACGTTTGAGCAGCTGGACTCTGACTGGGTGGAGGTCGCTTTGTGTGGATGAGAAATAACCGTGGAATGAGCCAATCAGCTGCAGTGTGACTGTTGCTAGGCAGAATAGGGAACCAGGCAGTACCTTCATGTTCCAGAGGTCAGAGAAGAATCTCTGGCGCTTCTTGGTGCCCATGGGCGTGTTGTGGAGCGACAGCGCCACCCGCTTCGCCACCCGCTTGTCTCTGAACTCCACCCACCCTTCGGTGAAGTCACACCTCCTGGAGCCAGACTCCTTCCTCCTCTTCCTCACCTGGCGGTCTGCAGAATCAGAGCAGGCAGATTATAATCCGGCAGCAACAAGCTTCAGATGAGAGAAACCCTCAGCGATCGAACGAATCAAACATGGACGTTATCTATAGTATCTAGGATATTATCTATTCACACTGGAAGAAACTAGGGAGTTATTGAGTTTTAGCAGCATGTGCAGACGGTTAACGTGGCTAACGATATTAGCAGCGCTGCAGAAGACGCGCTCTTAAGGTTTGCTTGTCTTTGTCCACCTGATAAAAAAACAGCAGAGGACGCAACAATAGCTGCGGTGCTAACGTGTTTATAGGCTATCGGGGCTAAGAAGTACGACACAGTAAAGTTATTCAATATCCGTCCGTCTGCAGCACCTATCAGGCTGCCGTACCCCTACAGCTGTAGTAGTCCTGTCTGCAGTAGTAGTGTCTGTAGTACTTGTAGTAGTAATAGTTGTAATAGTAGTAGTAGTAGTAGTAATAGTAGTAGTAGTAGTAGTAATAGTAGTAGTAGTAGTAGGGCTGGGTATTGTTAAAAAAATTTCGGTTCCGGTACCAATACCGATACCTTCACTTCGATACCGGTTCCTGAACGATACTTTTTTCGATACCAGTTTTATAATATCAATTCGAAAAAAAAGAAAATTACACAACATAAAAAAGTACAAATCTTGAGTTTTATTTTAAGCTCTGTTTTTCCATTTACATTTTTCCTCTTACATAAAAAAATAAATAATTCAGTGTCTAATATTCACTGTTACATTGTGAGGACCTTTTTACTTAGCAGTTTTCCTTTAGAAAAATTACCATGTCTGACAAACAAGCCCGTTGAATGGGATCCTACTGACAGCGCACCGCTGGTATGGGGGGGGTCTGAGCGGCTCCGACAGAAATATTGAAGGCAGGATGAACTGACTGCACTGATTATGTTTTCAGGTGGATTTTCCCACTTAAAAACATAATAAAACTACTTTATTCCCACTGATCACAGCAAATATAGCTGCAAGGCAAAGAAAGGATAGAGTAGCTCCGCCCAACGCACGTCAGAGCCACTTTTCGACCGCGCAGCCAGAGCAGCAAAGCTTCTTCAGCAGCGCGTCAGAAGCTGGTACAAGCAGCAAAAATGAAGCAGCAGACGAGATTTTGCTGCTCCTGCTGCGTCCAGTTTGAAAGCAGCATGATTCACTCCGCTCTGGCTTTGCTCCGCCCACGGGCTGCTGAGAGGAGGATGGTCGCGCTGGCTGCGGTCCGCTCTTCTTGCAGTCAAACACAGAGCGACTTTCTGCTCTTAAATTGTCTCCGTGCACGATGTATTGCATTGTGCACTATTAGCATCAGTCTTAATAAAGTGAAGCCGCACTTTTGACCTGGGGGGCATTTTAAAGGGGTTCCACGACGCTGCAACCAGTTCACAAAAGATACACATGAACCCTGGCTGTAGGCGGGACCACCTGTGTATTTTTCCTGGATGACGCAATCACCTTAAGTGTTCCAGCCAATCACCGAAACTTGGTACCGAAAGACGAGGCATGTTTCGATACTCTGTAGAACCGAAGCATTTCGGTCGGTACCATAAAAGTACCGAAGTTCGGTACCCAGCCCTAAGTAGTAGTAGTAATAGTAGTAGTAGTAGTAGTAATAGTAGTAGTAGTAATAGTAGTAGTAGTAATAGTAGTAGTAGTAATAGTAGTAGTAGTAATAGTAGTAGTAGTAATAGTAGTAGTAGCGTAGTACCTTCAGGCTGCAGGAATATCCGTCCGATCTCTCCGTAGACGGACAGCAGGTTCCTCAGATGTTTGGGGCGGAACCTTGGAGGGATGTGGCCCAGGTAGATGATACCTGGAACGCACTTCCTGTCCTCCTTCTTCTTCTTCTTTGGCTCCCCATCATCATCATCATCATCATGGGCTTCTTTCTGGTCAGTGGGTCCTTCATCTTCCTCCTCTGGGGTCTGACTGTTTGTGTCTCTTTGCCCCTCTTCCTCCTCCTCCTCCTCCTCCTCCTCTTCCTCTTCATCTTCCTCCTCCTCTTCCTCCTCCTCCTCCTCTGAGCTCTGGTTGGTTGCTGTCCTCATCTTCTCCTCTTCCTCTCTCCTCTTCATCTCTGCCCTAGAAGCAGAGAAACATGTGACCTCCAGTGTCCAATCAATCATCAGTGGAGGACCATCAGCCCTGCAGCTCAGTAGCTCCACCTAGTGGGAACCCAGAGTTTAACTCCAGCTCTGATGCTCGTTTTCTCCTAAATCAGCTGAGAAAATGAGGATAAACCTGCAGACTGCCATCTTTATTCACGCTTCCTTCCGGAAAACAGCTAAAAACGATCCCCGTAGAGAGAAACGATCAATGTTCCCCAACAGGCAGGAGAACATTTGATGAATCCAGAGGCAGCAGAAGCTGCAGGTCTGCTTTGATAGAAATCAGCTTAACCAGTTGGAATAACAAACTGGCATCACTGGCAGATAACTGGGACTGAGCAGGAACCAGAGTCCAACCGGCCTCAGCCGGTTCTCCCTCTGGAAAAGTTTGGTTAGCGAGAAATAATCAATGGATCATTATTTATACCTAAAACTAAAATGTTTGCAGTGATTTAATGAATTTAGCGTTAATCAGTAAAAAATTAAAAACAATATAAAAAAAATAGTTTTCATCACTATCACTGAGTCTGGGAGCGGCCATTTTTGCCCAAATATAGTAGCCCCTCCCTCCTGCCATCTTCCAGCAGTGACGTCACGGTGCGGTAAGCCTAGCGCCATTCTCCCCGCTTTCCAAGCTAAATCAATGGGAACTACTAGACACATCTGCAATCAACAACAATTATTGACGATTTCCAGAGGACTTCACCATTGAAATTCACCAGAGCTATAGTGAAACTGACAATGCCCACGTGCATGGCAGCTGGATGCTGGAATACATCGGGTAAAAGTGAAAAAAAGAGTTATTCCACCTTTCTGATTCCTGATCCTCCACGGACGGGTTGGTCGTTGGATCGCCAACTTGAAGAGGGAGGATTTGCCATCGAACTTCTGGCCAGAGAAAAAACCCGTAATATGTAGCCAACATTTGGAAGAAGAATGTTTTCAAGATGACTTGGATAATAGCGCGTTGTGACAAACACCAAATACAGCACTGGGACTTGATCAACAGCCGATACCGCACCGTGACAATGTCACTAACCAGTAGGTGGCAGTAGTGTTCTTTGACAAACATGGATGCCTCCAGTAAAGCAGATTCACATGAAAATTACTCTGAATTAAAAACACTGATCATTTATTGAACAGGATGGAATCATTTCAGATTTAAAGAACTTTCAGAAGTTGGAATTCTGAAAATAAGCGAACTTTTCCTTTAGGAAGGTAAAAATTCTCTGATTGTAGCTAAAACAAAAACTCAGAGCAGAAATGAACATTTGTATTCTCTGGAATCAGATCAGACAAAAGCAGAAAGAAAAACAAAAATCTACAAAAAAATCAATATAAAGATAATAAAACTTGTTTGTTGATCCAGTTTTAGCTTCACTTGGTTTGTTCACTTTTTCTACCAGATTATTATAATAAAATAAAATTAGAAGAATAATCAGACATGTTTGAATGAGTAAATATTTTAGACCAGAGGATCTGATCCACCAGCTGAGGAGGAGCTCAGAGCCCAGAACCGGTCCTGGTTCTTCCCGTATGGATCAGAACCAGAGGAAACCCTTCAAACCAACAGCAGCATCCCTCCGACCGGCCGGATGGCGGCGCTGCTGCTATTATCATCTATAATCACCAATAACTGATCAACTGACCTGATCAATCAGCCGCAGATCGATCCCTCATCAACAAACCGCTGCAGCCTCACGTGGAACTGCGGTCGCGTCCGGATGACGTCACATAGCCGCGATCAATTTACCAGCTAGCTTCCGGTTGTCTTCTTCTTCTTTCCTATTATGGCGGCTCGCCAGCAGCTTTAAGCTGCATAGCGCCACCTACTGTACATGATGTGCAGCAACACTATTTTACATGTAATTCTATTTTTTTATTTTGTATTGTGTAGATAAATAAATAACGCTTTCCTTAATCTGTGAATATCATTTATATTTCCTTCATTTCGCAACAGACTTCATTCTTTTCCTGTCCTTCCAATTATTATTCTTAATTTCTCTCTTTCATGTTTATAAGTTTTACAGATCACCAGTAGTTCTACATTTTCTTTTTCTCCGCATCCTTCACATTTATCGTTATTTATCCTCCCTATTAAATATAAATTATCATTTAAATAAGTTAGAGCCACTCTTAATCTGATCATTTTTACTTCTTCCCTTCTGTTTCTCACATCAATGATTCTATTAGATACTGATTTTATATAATCCTCTTTCATTCTTATCTTCGTTTCACCTCTTGTGCTATTTTTCAATTTCTTTACTCTTAATAAGTGATTTACCTTCCTTCCGCTTGTCTTTTCCAAAATAACTAATTTATAATAAAATTTCCTGTCCGATAATTGGTGGAATTTTCCTGCTTATTTCCAGTGAAAAAAGTTTATGACGTTAATGAATCATCTGGAAGCCAAACTGTATTGATTCTGTCTCGCAGAATACTGACACCTGCTGGACATTTAAAGACACTACAGGCAGCTGATTGGACAGACTGAAATAAATAAATTTGTTGGCCTAAAGCAATGACATCATTGAGTTATTGGAGGTTATATTGTATTATTTCATATATATGTTTAAATTGAAAATATCTTTTATATTTTTAGAATCAGCCAATAAAATAAGATTTCATTCTTTTTAAAAATTATTCCTAAAAATGTGATTTTATTTTCACAGGTATATTATTGACTTCAACCTTATTCCATCATTTTAGGGGAAACTGGATGCAAGCAGCTGCTTTCCATCAGATATGAACAGCAGAACCAGAGCTTAAACCAGCAAAGACTTTTACTTTGAAAAGCGGAAGCGGAAGTGCCGGGCGGAGCCGGGCCGCTTTGATCGCAGTGAGGATGAGGAGGCCCGTCTCCAGTCTGCGTTTGAGCTCCAGTGTGAAGGTGAAGCTGGTCAGAACTGGTTTCCAGTTCACCACCGACCTGCAGGACCTGGACCCGGATCAGCTGAGCGCAGGTAGACAGAGGTCCCGGTGTTCTTAGAGTTCCTCCGGAAACAAAACTAAGGGCCGGATAAATGGTTCCGCCTCGGTCCTTAAAAATGCCCAGAACTTTTCTCCACAGAGAAACAACATCTGGAATAATGAGGAAATATTAGAGATAATAAAAGTAAAATAAAGTCCGGTTGAATAAAAACACCGCATTGAAATTTAATGAAAGACTCTAGATGAGTTTGATCTAAGTTATCTGGTTCTATCCATCAGACTCTCATCTGATTGGTTCATTTAACTCACAGGGAAACATTAGATTTCCTTCAATCAGAGAATAAAACCACCTGATCAGGTAGAAATAACAAAAGTAAACAGATAAATTTGTTTTTGTTTTAAAAGAAAGAACTAAAGATATAAAATAGAGCAAACAGGCTCTGATATCAAAATAAGAATAAAGACATAAAAACATTTACTTCACTTTAGGAAACATCTTCAAGGTAAAACATTAAAAACAGTGAACCTCTTTAATAATAATATATAGAAAAGATAAGGCAGATGAATAAAATAGAAAAATAACAACAAAAAGGAAAAAATAATTAAAAACAAAAGGACCAATTACTGAATTACTGGGATTAAAAAGATCTAAATTATTATATCAAAAAGAAGTTTAATTGCCGGGGGCCAAAATTTAATTATTTAGAGATTTACAAAGTAGAAAAAAATGTTTTTTTTAACGCCATCAAACATGGTAAGAATTTAGTAAAACGTTTGTTAGCGGGGAATATAGCAAATAATGTTTATATGAAATATTCAACTTTTTGTCCGTTAATAAAACATCATATTTGACCTTTTTTCCAGGATAAAGAAGAGATAAAAGCAAAGACTTTGAAACTAAACAGTTTAAATTAATTTCTTTCCGCTCTATTTTTGCCTCGGCAGAATGAAATAATTTTTCTCTGTTTCAAATTTAGTTGGAATTGGTAATTTCAGGAGTTTAGTTCTAATCCATCAAATTTCCTCACCGTTTAAGTTTCTTAAATAAAATAAACGATTAGAGGTTCCAAAGTTTTCTCAAAATCTAATTATTTTTTTATCCATTCACAAAAAGTATTTTATTTATCTTTATTTCGTGCAGCTTAGGAGAATTGGTTGTGCAAGTTCTTATAGATTTTTAAAATTATAATTAGCATAGCATTTGGAATATTTCCAATCCATATTTTATAAAACTCAGAGGAAAAGATCAAAGTATATTTACAGCCAAATTCTTCATATTTTAATATTTTCCTTTCATCATTCAACAAATAAACAACAGTTTTTCTCATTTTTCAGAGAAAAATGGCTGAAAAATCTGCTCTGTTGTTTATTTGTTATCCAAGTGTGATTTAAGGTGGAAATGCTGCTGAAGGAGAAGCCGTTTCTTCATCTCCTGTCCTCCATGTTCCTCCTGCAGAGGCCAGTATCTCCCAGCAGGAGGCGCTGGAAGCGCTGCAGGCTGCCAGAGCAGGAGAAGGCGGAGCCTCTGTGACGGCGCTGGAGCTGCTGCAGAAGGAGGAGGAGCTGAGGAGCGTGGTGACGTTCTCCTCGCAGCTGGACCACGCCCTGGGAGGAGGAGTTCCTGTCGGGAAGGTGACGGAGATCTGCGGAGCCGCAGGAGTCGGAAAAACACAGCTGGGGTCAGAAGAACAGACATGTTTCCATGACGATGTTTTAGTCTCATCTCAGAGCAGTGATGGATGGTGGAGTTTCCTCCAGGGGGAGCTATAACTTCTAAATAAACGTAAACCAAAAAAAAAAATCTAATATATGTTAAGGTAGCAGACCAGCATATTAACATGAATTCCAACAACAAAAAACAACGTTCTAAAATGTTCTACAAAGTTCTTTAAATCAGTCCTAATCAGATCCTGACATCAGGAGGCAGGAAAGCAGAATACGGCGTTAGCCTCGCTGCATGCAGTTAGCCTCGCTAAATGCAGTTAGCCTCACTGCCTGCAGCAAGCTAACTGCATGCAGTTAGCTTGCTGCAGGCAGTTAGCCGAGCCTCGCACACTGCAAAAAATTATCTAGAAATAAGTAAAATTTCTTTAATCAGGTGTATTTATCCTTCGTTTTAGTTGGTAAATGGGATGATTTGCCAATAGAATGAGGATTTTTTTACTCTTTAAATAAGATAATTAGATAATATTCACTTGTAAAAAGACAATTCAATTGATTTTCTTATTTCGAATGTAAATTATCTTGTTCCAATGGCAAAGTATCTCACATATCGCCTCAATTCAAGAACAAATGCACTTATTCTAAGAAAAATGACTTATTTAGATTACCATTTTTTGCAGTGTAGCTAAATAATTCTATCAACCTGTCAATCAGCCTCACTTTCTAACAGACGACTGTGATGTCAGCGCTGTGGAGGGAGGGGGTGAGCAAATAAAGCTGCTTTCACCTGGTGCAGAGACCTGCTCCCCAGGATGCTGCTATCTTTAGCAAGAGGAGCGTCATTGAAGTCGTAGGGAAGCGGCGTTCCAACCGTTGCATTTCTAAATTCTCCCGAGTGGAGCCCGACTTTACACGAGTGAATAAAGTGAATGTGATTGGTCGATTATCAAGGGGGCAAGTTTGATTTGATTGTGGCCGGTTTTTGTGGGAAGCATCTTGCTAACCAGTTAGCAACTTAGTGCTAGCAGGTTCTGCCAGTTCTGTTAGCTCTACGCCTGCCGAAGACACAGACGTCCATCCCCGTGAGCACTGGGACGCAACTCAATGGGAAAGGAAAGGATTCTGGTTTCAACCGTTGCGTATATTAGCTGCGACACATGAATCAAGATGCTATGACCGAAAACATTTGATTGACAGATGATCGTTGATATATGATTGGCTGAATTTAGGTGTTCAGGCTGACGTAGAACTAACTGGCCTGCAGAAGATAACGGAAAGAATTTTTTTAAACTAACTTTTGGGACAATATGGTCTGATAAAGTGTAGATTTATATACATGTTTAAGCCTGAATGATTTGACATTTAAATATGATTTCCCTACAACTTTAAAGATTAAATATTTAAATTTTATAATATAATTTCTATTGGGTTGCTCATGTCAGCAGTGGGTAGCACTGCTGCCTTGCAGCCAGACGGTTCCAGGTTCGATTCCCGGCCCAGTGTCTTTCAAAATCAATCCACTGGACTTTGTTTCCAAGTTTGAAGACGTTTCTCTTCCATCCAGGAAGATTTTTTAATTCAAAATGTCAGAAATAGCGTTTAGTTCCAGGTTTGTGAGTGAATAGTTGTTTGTCTCTGTGTTGCCCTGCGATGGATGGGGACCCGTCCAGGATGGACCCCGCGTCTCACAGCTGGAGATCACCACCACAGCTGGGATAAGCATGTTTTGTCAATGTCTTAATCAAGGTCATTGGGTGGGTGGGGCGGCGCCCCCCGCTCCCTTGTACATTAAAGTCAGCTGGGGGGGAAACTTCACTTCAAGACCAGCGTAGAAAAAGTGTGAAAGGAGGAGCCTAATTTACCGAAACACTACAGGCCGTCGCTGCTAGCTAGATTCAGGATTAATTTAAGCTAACTTTAGTGTCACATGTTCATTCGTCGCCTGTTATGTTCTCTTAGTCACTTTTTCACGCTCCTCCTGGTCACGTGACCCTCTCAGTGTGGTTGCTGGGTGTGCTGGTAACTAGCCGTCCCTGTGTGACGGGTTCTGGTTGTGCTCAGCCTGCAGCTGGCCGTGGACGTCCAGGTGCCGCCATGCTTCGGGGGCCTCGGAGGTCAGGTGATGTTCCTGGACACGGAGGGCAGCTTCCAGCTTCAGAGGGTCGTGGACCTCGCCGGCGCCGCCGTCCGACACTGCTCTCTTCTGGCTGAGGATGAGGAGCAGCGGGTCGCCATGACGACCTTCTCTGTGGAGACAATCCTGTCCAACATCTTCCTGGTACTAAAGTCAAACTCTGTTGGTCCTGATTGGCCAAGCTCCCTCCTTTGAAGATTTCAGGTCCTCCTGAATGATGTTGCCATGGTAACTCTGTAGCGGGTCTGTCTTTTGTTCCAGGTGCGTTGCCGTGACTACGTGGAGCTGTTGGCTGAGCTACATCTGCTGCCGAACTTCCTGCGGGACCGGCCAAAGCTCCGCCTCCTCGTCATCGACAGCGTGGCGTTTCCATTCCTGCAGCTTCATGACGATCTGTCCCAGAGGACACGCCTCCTGCAAGGCCTCGGCCTGCAGCTTGTATCCATGGCAACCAGCCAGAACATTGCCGTGCTGATCACCAACCACATGACCACTCGGCTGCGGGGCAGCCAGTCGCAGCTGGTTCCAGCTCTAGGGGACATCTGGGGCCACGCCCCCTCCATCAGGCTCCTCCTCCAGTGGGAGGGGCCCCGGCGGCTGGCCTCCATTCTCAAATCTCCGGCCCACATAGAGGCAACTGTCCAATACCAGATCACCTGTGAGGGCTTCAGAGACGCCGACCAATCAGAGCAGCTGCAGAGCAAAAGGCCTCGAATTCAGAGCAGCCAATGAAAGACCAGCGTTTAACACCGGCAGCAGATGATTGGTCCAAACCTTCAGCCTGTTTGTATGACGGTGAAGGCCCCTCCCCCTGTGTGATGTCACCCAGGTGGACCAGCAGCTGGTTTTAGACAAATGAATGCTGATCCTGCAGCTCCAACGTTTTCACAGGTGCTGCATCAAACTGCGGCTGCAGCTGATTGGCTGAACCCAAACGACCTCAGCGCTGTGATGTCATCTTCAGGAAGAACCGTCATGACTGCCTCCACCTCGACCACAGATCAAAAACATCTGAATTCAATCAACTTGGATTGTTTGTCACCATGGTAACTGAGCAGGATGTTTCGCTCTTCGATCATCAACCAATAAAAGTTTTTTGTTTTTTGTGGAGATTCACCTCCTTCATGTTGATTTTTAATTCTTTGATAAAGAGGGACATTTCTTTACCTGCTAAACTAAATTTGTAATAGATTTATAAATTTCTTTTTTTCAGGAGGAGATTTTTAAGGTTGACATTTATTCTTATTTCTTTACCTTGAATAAAGTTTCTATTTTCCAATAAAGAGTCTGGTTTATGTCTCTGAATGAATTAAAGCAGATCTGATGTGTTGGTTGCCATGACAACAAAGTGAAGTAGCAGAGAGCCGTTCCCGATATTTCATCATTTAAGGGTTTGACTTCATTTAAAATAGAAAAGTCTCCATCTGCATCATTTATAGATGGAGGGGATTTTTAATTTCTATTAAAATTCACTCTGTGGGAACGGTTTGAGATGAGCTCCGGGTCCAGCTGCCAGGGGGGGATTTAACATTAAGCAAAACTAGGCAGGTGCCTAAAAACTGTTTCCATGTATGGTTAATAAAACTATTCCTTATTTTTTTCACATTAATTATTTTTTTTGATAAAAATCCTTTTGCTTAAATGCCATCAGAACGCTGATAATATTAAGTGTGTCTCAGCCCCCCCCTTCAGTGTCCACCATATTGGGTCAGTCCATTTGCTGCACATGTTCAGAAAGGTCCAAACAGACAGCAGCAAACCATTTGGAAACAAACCATGCAAAGAGCAGTGTTGCCAACTTAGCGCTTTAGTCGCTATATTTAGCCACTTTTCAGACCCCTCTAGCACTTTGATTTCTAAAAAGCTCCTAGCGCCAAATCTACAGACTTTTCAGACCCCTCTAGCTAGCGATGCTGAGATGAAGCCTCATCGAGTCGGGCAGAGTAGCAAGAGGCAGAGTTAAATTACCTGTACAGGTGCTGGTCATAAAATTAGAATATCATGAAAAAGTAGATTGATTTCAGTAATTCCATTTAAAAAGTGAAACTTGTATATTATATTCATACATTACATACAAACTCATATATTTCAGATGTTTATTTAGTTTAATTTTGATGATTACAAATGACAACAAATGAAAATCTCAAATTCATCATATCAGAAAATTAGAATATTGTGAAAAGGTTCAAAATTGATGGCCCCTGGTGCCACACTCTAATCAGCTAATTAACTCAAACCACCTGCAAAAGCCTTTAAATGGTCTTTCAGTCAAGTTCTATAGGCTACACAATCATGGGGAAGACTGCTGACTTGACAGTTGTCCAAAAGACGACCATCGACACCTTGCACAAGGAGGGCAAGACACAAAAGGTCATCGCTAAAGAGGCTGGCTGTTCACAGAGCTCAGTGTCCAAGCACATTAATAGAGAGGCGAAGGGAAGGAAAAGATGTGGTCGAAAAAAGTGTACAAGCAAGAGAGATAACCGCACCCTGGAGAGGATTGTGAAACAAAACCCATTCAAAAATGTGGGGGAGATTCACAAAGAGTGGACTGCAGCTGGAGTGAGTGCTTCAAGAACCACCACACACAGACGTATGAAAGACATGGGTTTCTGCTGTCGCATTCCTTGTGTCAAGCCACTCTTGAACCACAGACAGCGTCAGAAGCGTCTTGCCTGGGCTAAAGAGAAACAGGACTGGACTGCTGGTGAGTGGTCCAAAGTCATGTTCTCTGATGAAAGTAAATTTTGCATTTCCTTTGGAAATCAAGGTCCCAGAGTCTGGAGGAAAAGAAGAGAGGCACTTCATCCACGTTGCTTGAAGTCCAGTGTAAAGTTTCCACAGTCAGTGATGGTTTGGGGTGCCATGTCATCTGCTGGTGTTGGTCCATTGTGTTTTCTGAGGTCCAGGGTCAACGCAGCCACATACCAGGAAGTTTTAGAGCACTTCATGCTTCCTGCAGCTGACCAACTTTTTGGAGATGCAGATTTCATTTTCCAACAGGACTTGGCACCTGCACACAGTGCCAAAGCTACCAGTACCTGGTTGAAGGACCATGGTATCCCTGTTCTTAATTGGCCAGCAAACTCTCCTGACCTTAACCCCATAGAAAATCTATGGGGTATTGTGAAGAAGAAGATGCAATACACCAGACCCAACAATTCAGAAGAGCTAAAAGCCACTATTAGAGCAACCTGGGCTATCATAACACCTGAGCAGTGCCACAGACTGATCGACTCCATGCCACGCCGCATTGCTGCAGTAATACAGGCCAAAGGAGGCCCAACTAAATACTGAGTGCTGTACATGCTCATACTTTTCATGTTCATACTTTTCAGTTGGCCAACATTTCTATAAATCCTTTGTTTTTATTGGTCTTCAGTAATATTCTAATTTTCTGATATGATGAATTTGAGATTTTCATTTGTTGTCATTTGTAATCATCAAAATTAAACAAAATAAACATCTGAAATATATGAGTTTGTATGTAATGTATGAATATAATATACAAGTTTCACTTTTTAAATGGAATTACTGAAATCAATCTACTTTTTCATGATATTCTAATTTTATGACCAGCACCTGTAGATAATGGGAAAGGTTTTGCAGTTCTATGGTAGTAGAACAAAAGGCAAGGTTCTGTGGAATTGTCAACTGCCCAAGGAGAAATTTTTGATCAAATGCTAACAGCTTTAAAGATAATTAGAAATCAAATACTGGAAAATTAGCTCAAACAAAGTCCTCTTCTTCTCCATAAAAAAAAGGAAAAAAAATCATCAAATAAATAAATGTAATCTAACAAAAACTTCCAACTGTTTTTAATATTCTTTTTTTGTTTCTGCATTTTTTATTTTATTAATTAATTTATTTATTTATTTTATATATTTATTTTTTTTTCCTACTTGCTTTGATTCTGTTTTATCTTCCTGTATTTTAATCATGTAAAGCACTTTGCATTGTCTTTGTACTGAATTGTGCTATACAAATAAATTTGCCTTGCCTTGCCTTTTTCTCTTTCCATTTAAGTTCCTTCGAATTGTTAGTGATCGGTGTGTACAGTTAAATCTTTTCTATGTTTTTGTTTTTTTTAGTGTAAAATGTCTTAGAAGGGAACAATCACTTAAGGTTCACAGTTTTTCTTTTTTGCCTTTTTAGTGAAATAAGCTCAAGCAGACAGTGAAAGTGTTATGCAAGTTGGGCAATGATGAGCAAAATGAAAGCTGTTAGTCATTTTTATTCAAACATGATAGTTTTTCCACAGTTTTTGGTTTTAATCTGGTTGGAAGTTATGTTGGGAACATAAGGAACAATCAGATTTTATGTGTTGTCTTCTCAATTCAGAGGGCCCCAAATTTCCTAGAACCGCCCCTGACCACTGAAGGCGCATAAACCAGAAAGAAGAGAACAGAAGCTGAAAGGATGAGCCATGAACCAGTTTCACTGACTAAATGGTTTCCAGTTGGAACCTCCGCTGCTCCTGACAGACCTCTCCAGGTTCTGCCTTCCTGTCTGGAGCCTATTGCAGCTTTCTGAGCCCAATCCCCGCTGAGCTCCTCTTCTGCTTTCAACAAGAACTGTTTACATAATTAATGCACAATTACCGCGTGACGTCACCGGGGTAACCAGCGGCTGAAAGCTGGATGCGGCTCAGAGCGAGCTGGTCCTCACAGGGACACGCATCAGCGGACAGGTGGACAGGGACAGGTGGACAGTCCTCCGCCTGCAGGAGGAGCAGCAGGAGCTGATATCTGGGAGCGCAGCGCGGCTCATCTCTGTGGACTGAACGGATCGGCCCAGTCAGAGGTACTAACTTTATTTATTCTTCCTTTATTTAAATAAAAACTGAATAAAACTGTTAATTAAATTAATCATCAAGATAGACATTAATATTGAAAGCTGTTTGCAGCAGATTGATCAGTTTTAAACAGATTTAGTTGAGACTTCTGAGCATCACCTCAGTCAGGGGCGGATTGAGGAAATATGGGGCCCTAAGCAAAGACAGGCAGGGGGCCCCTCTGAATGGAGAAGACAACACATAGAACAGCCCCATTCTCCAGATATAGAAATGTTAATAGAATAGACATCCATTATCTGTTCTAGGTTGTGTCCCTCTCTTCTTGTCCCCTTTCTTCTTGTTTTCCTCTCTATGTTTTGTACTCAGCTGACTTTTCATGCTGTCTCTAAAGGAATGAAAGATTTTTTCCAAGCACTAAGCTCACTTAGCTGATTGCTCCTTCCTGTGTTTCCAAAAAGGCCAAAGTAAATAACCCAGTCCTTCTTTTCACTGTAGACAAGCCATGATCTGCTTATCTGTTCTCCATTTTTCATTTGGATGAAATAATAGCTGCATGAATCATGACAGCAGACAAGATAGAGGAGAGCAGGAGGCGGGGTTACCAATCTACTCGCTCTGGAGAGCAGAGTTCGCTGCTTTTAGATGTTGTCTCCAAAGTCTCCAGTAGCAGAAAAAAGTCTCTAGATTTGGCGCTAGGAGCTTTTTAGAAATCAAAGTGCTAGAGGGGTCTGAAAAGTGGCTAAATATAGCGACTAAAGCGCTAAGTTGGCAACACTGCTCTTTGCATGGTTTGTTTTCAAATGGTTTGCTGCTGTCTGTTTGGACCTCTCTTAACATGTGCAGCAAATGGACTGATCCAATATGGTGGACACTGAAGGGGGGGGGCTGAGACACACTTAATATTATCAGCGTTCTGATGGCATTTCAGCCAAAGGATTTTGATCAAAAACATCATTAATGTGCAAAAATAAGGAATAGTTGTATTAATCATAGATGTAACCAGAGTTTTATAGGGCCCCCAGAAACTTGGGGCCCTATAAAAGGCAAGGAACATCTAACTGCCATGATTCTTAATCAGGTCCTGCAAACAGAACAGTTCTAAAATCAGAACCTTTTCTGAAACATAACTTGGACCCTAATGAGGAAAGATGAATGACTGCTGTCAGTGCTGCCATGGTAACGGTGATGGGACCTAAAGGTGAATCTTGGGGGACTCCATTTCTGATTAACAGAACAGTTCTAAAAAAAAAAAATCCCCAAATTCTTTGATCAAACCAACTTCAGAACCGGGTG